GCCATGAAATTGAGTCTATGGTGTGCAATTTTTGGTGGGGACAAAAAGAGGAAACCCGTAAAATTCATTGGACTAGCTGGAAACAATTGTGTAAATCTAAATTACGGGGTGGTATGGGATTCCGGTGCCTTCAACATTTCAATTCAGCTTTGTTGGCCAAACAGTGTTGGCGATTACTGCAACGGCCTCAATCCTTGGTTGCGCGGGTCTTTAAGGCTAGGTACTTTCCACAAACTTCATTTCTTGATGCTTTGGTCGGGAGCAATCCCTCATTCACCTGGAGGAGCATAGTCGGATCTCGAAGCCTATTAAATGCTGGGCTTCGATGGCGTGTTGGAAATGGTGCAAGCATCTCGGTTAAGTATGATAAATGGGTTCCACGGCCTCATTCTTTTAAGGTAATTTTGCCACCTTCCAATCTTTCGAATGATGCGCGGGTTTGTGATTTAATTGATTCTGAGAAGGGAGCATGGCATGATGAGATGCTTACGCAAAATTTTTTGGGCATGGATGTGGAGGCTATTCGATGCATTCCTCTTTGTCCCACGTTACCTTCGGATAAATTGGTCTGGCATTTTACCTGAAATGGTGAGTTTTCGGTTCGATCGGCATATCATTTGTGTAAGGATATGGCATCTGTGGATGGACACGGTGATACCTCCAATATTGGGCAGTCGCAGAGGCAGTTCTGGCGAGGTCTTTGGCAGCTTAATTTACCGACCAAACTCAAGATTTTTGGCTGGAAAATGTGCCTCGGGTTGTTAGCAGTAAGGGCCAATCTGCGACAACGTCATATTGTCAATATGGATTTATGTCCCGGGTGTGGAGTGGAGATTGAAACGGTTTGCCATTGTTTTCACAACTGTGGATTTGCCATGCAAGTGTGGAGATCGAGCTCACTTAATTTGATTATCCAATCTAATCCTGTTAACAATTGTTTTGAGTGGGTCTGCCAACTCATGGCCACAAATGGTCCACAACCCATGCAATTATTTATTGCTATTTGTTGGTGCCTTTGGAATAATAGAAACTCCATTCTGTTTGGCAATAAATCAAGGACTGTGGAGGAAGTTGTTTCTTTCGCGGTGAATTATGTTTCTGACTATGTTCAAGCACAAGAACGTGGCCATCTTCCTCCGGCCCAGGTTCGGATGCGAAGGTGGGTTGCACCACGTGAGGGTGTCTTCAAACTGAATTTTGACGGCTCTGTTAGGCCGGCCCATGCCAATGCTGGTGTTGGCATTATTATTCGGGACTGTCATGGAGAAGTCATTGCGTCTATGGTTGAGCGGATCCAGTATATGGAGGATGTTGATTGTGTGGAAGCTATGGGTGCGATAAAAGCTCTTCAATTGGGTTGTGATTTGGGATTGGGACATATTCATCTGGAAGGTGATTCTCAAAACGTGGTGGCTGCTATTCAAGGTAAGGCGGATAACTTATCTTGCTATGGTCATTTTGTAGGTGTGGCTCAAGCGCTCATGTTGAGGTTCCTTTCTTCAGAAGTTTCGCATGTTTGTCGAGATGGCAATTCGGTGGCTCATTGTTTAAGTAGGCTAGCCTTTGATTTTGGCCTAATTAAGCAAGCTTAAGATTAATTAATCTAGTCTAATTCTAATTGATTTTATCTAATCAATCCTAATCTAAATCAAATTTTAATTAAACTTCCCAAATAATTCTAAATATTCAAATTAGTATATTAAACTTATCAATTTTGGTTTCTAAACTATTTGCACCTTCAAGTTCTGATTCAAAACAAGCATTATGATAGATATTTCATAATCAAATAGATATAAGCAAGATTAAGCACATAAACATACAAATTCACATAGTAATGTAAATGCAAAAATGATATGCATGTTGGGGTCGTCCCAGATGATTTCCGAAAGAATTGACCAGAACAAGAAGGGTAAGGATAAGGTTTGAACATTTTGAACTTTTGAACCCTTTTACATCAGCACAATAATTCAATATCTCATGGTACATGCCATGACATATCTGCACCTCGCCAACTATCCACCTAGCCGATGCAACAGAACAAAGGCTAGCTCAGGCTTGCATCTAAAGTCAAAAGTAGGATCCTACTTTTTGTAAAGTTTTTTTTTTTGGTCCCTTTTTAGTCACTACTTTGCCAAAAACAAAGAAAATCTGAGGGGATGTTTTTTTTGTTACTGAACAAATCATCAAAAGGAGAATCAATAATGCGATTAATGATGGGGCTCATAGTGCACCCAACATTATTTTCTCTTTTATCGATTCTTTCAGTCACCAGTTATTTTACTTTTTACGTCTATAAATTAGGAACTTTCATCCTTTGTTGGGGGCACACTTAAGTTTTATGAATTTTCTAAGCAATCAAAATTTTAACTACTTTGTTTCCTTTCTCTCATGCACTTGTTAAAAAAATTTAAAAAAAAAAATATGGCGGTTTGGAGCTTCTTAAAGATTTGCAGTTTTGTAACTATCTCTAATCATGTTCTATGAATTATGAATATGATATTGTCCTTGATAGATTTTATGTACTAACCCAATTGCGTAAATATCAAAAAAGTTTAAAAAACTAGAATCCGAATACCCTCCCAAATGATATCAACCCAATTATATTTCGTATACATTTGCACATTATAGACGTGCAATAGCTTTTTATCAAAATATTTTAGATAAATTAGCATCTGCATAATGAATACATTAAATCATATATGAACTAATCTATATTAATTACAATAATTATATATAAAATGATATTCCTGGATTTGTGTCAATTAGGGACTAAATTGATTAAAGGCAAGTGGGACATCACCCAAGTCACTTATGGAGTTGTAGTCATTGTTACATTAAATTGCTCCATGGCGGTTGTCCTAGTAAGCCATTGATAGACATGATTGTCTTCAATCCATTTTGCACACATAATTAAACCATTTGAAATTTGAAATATCTCTTGTCAGAATTGCTCAGTTAACAAAATTAATATAAAAATGAAATTTCTAACTATTCCATTATACAACAATAAAATTACCTTAATTATTAATTGACTTAGTAATTTATTAATAAAAGGAATCATTTGTTATGTGACTAAAAACTTTAAGGGACCTGATGTAATTTCAAAACTATATAGGACAATCTATATTTTAAGAAAACTTTAATAAGTGGATTTGTAATTGGAACTTTTTATTCATATATAAAATTCAAACAAAAAAACTTGATAAAAATAATATGATAATATTATTATTTTAAATAAATTCATCATTTGTTTCAAGTCTCAAAATTAGATCCACTTTCTAGGTCTAGTAATGTGTCAAGAAAATTATTATAATACAAAAATTCAAGATATTATTCATATAAAAAATTAATTGTTTGTAATTGCCTAAAAATTAACTATTTATGAACTGATTAACATGCAAGTTATGACATTTCATAACTAAATCATTTTCAGTAGTAATTAAAAAAAAAAAGAAAGTCTTAACCAAATACCATATAAGATATAATCAAAGACTTTTCGATTATAATCAAAGTAATAATCACAATAAATCATAATCAATTTCACAATGAGTTATGACTATGATGTGGTTTGTCTCGAGTTGAAACTTAAATTGGACCAGACAGTTGATGTCTCTGATTGGTAAGAGTCATCAAACGAAAGACTTTTACTGGTAAGAGTTTATGAAAATATAGTCCAGTTAATTTTTTTCAAAAACTCTAACTGGTAAGAATTTAGTGCACTTTTTGACTTATTGGTGGGTTTGGGTTGGGTTTGGGTTGGGTTTGATGTGATGTGTTAGAGAGGTGATGTGATTTAAATAAGATGATGTGACTTAAATAAGATAGTGACTTTTTGACTTTTTGACTTATTTAATACATGCCAACTAGCCCATATAATCACATTAAATCATAATCAATATCACAATGAGTTATGACTATGATGTGGTTTGTCTCGAGTTAACTTAAATTGGACCAGACAGTTGATGTCTCTGATTGGTAAGAGTCATTAAACGAAAGACTTTTACTGGTAAGAGTTTATGAAAATATAGTCTAGTTAAATTTTTTCAAAAACTCTAACTGGTAAGAATTTTTTGTTTAATGACTACTGGTCAGAGACCTCGGCTATCTAATCCAGTTGAAATTTCAACTTGAGGCAAGTCATTCCCATATAACTAAAACCACAATAAATTATAATTAAGTCATAACCATTAAGATAATAAACATAATCAAATATCATAGTTACCATAACTTGTGCATATGATACACACTCAAAAAAGAGTGTGTAGATACTCTTTGTACTCACCCTCTTTATTGATTTATAACATTTGTCTTGTACATGTTTCGTCATTAATAGAGTTTCTTTTTTACCGATAAAAATAAATAGAAATAATTAAAGTGTAGACCCTTTAATTATTGTGCAGTTACACTATTAATGGAAAGGCACTTTGGGCGAGTCCAGGTGAGATCATGGGATGCTATTTATGTGACAGCGCACAAGCTTGGCCTTTATTTTACATTTTTTCCTCCATTGTTTTGCTTTCTAAGCTACAAGGACAGTTGAGCATAATCCAAAATACTTCAAGGTGCTAAGCCTATTTAAAATAGATTTAGGTTGCTTTCGAACCATCAAAGTGTTTTTTATTCTTAAATTTTCTTGTCTATTATTTCTACAAAATTAATGACTTTATTTAGTTTCTATTTTTTGGATTCACTGTTCAAGAAATTTGAGTTTTTTGTTTTCACTAATTTTTTTTAATATTATAAGCAAGTTGAAAATGATTTATAGCTCGAAAGTGAAGCCTCAAATGGCCCGAAAGTGTGGGCTCACGCACCCATAACACCTCTCTTTTTACGACAATGCTACGTAGCTCAAATTTTGTGGCTCAAAAGTGGCTCAAATAGCCAAAACGACGTCGTTTTGAGTACAGAACAACATAAAAATGGCCAAAACGACGTCGTTTTGGCCATTTGAGCCACTTTTGAGCCACAAAATTTGAGCTACGAGGCATTTTCCCTCTTTTTATCTCTCTGTTTTCTTAATGTTAGACCCAAACTCTCTCTCTATCTCTCTGTTTATCATCATTCTCATCATTTTCAACCCCCCCTCATCTGACTCCCTCTCCGAATGATTCAAGTCCATCACCTCCTCTCTCCCCCAAAGGACACCAAAAAGTTGTTGTGCTATAGAAAGGACTACAATCTTACTCGATGGTTAGCGGGTAACTCATCTCATTCGAGCTACTCTCATTCGACTCGGTGGTCAGCGAGATAGTACTCTCACAGCCGATCATCTCACTACTGGAAAACGTGTATATATGCTGGATTACTTACCAGAATACATCTGAATCTCAGGTAAATTCTGGATCACAAAACTAGGGTTTGATGATTGAGTGAATGGTTCAGAAAGATTAAAAGAGTTTAGGGTTTTGTGTTTTTCCCTTTTGCATGATTGTCTGATGTATTCCATGTATATATGTTCTTCAGTATTTGTTGTTAATTGGCAGACCATTCTACTTTTCCGGTGAATTTTCCCCCAATAATTTTTGCTGCTAAATGTTGGTTTGGTAGTGAATTTTTGTTGCTAAATCTTGTTTTGCTGCTGAGTTTTTCCCCAACCATTTGTTGCTACTAAATGTGGTTTTGCTTTTGAATGTTGCCCCAAGAACTTTTCCCCTTAAATCTTGTGAATTTGTGAATGGTGAATTTGTCTGCTAAGTCTTGTGAATTTGTGAATGGTGAACTTTTGCAGTGAAATCTTTTGGCCCAACATATAGCAATTCCGATTTCGACCCAACCTTTGTTGTATTCCGGACTTGAGTTTCATGGGTTGGTGTTGTTGTTTATCTCTTTGTCTATTGGGTTGTTTCGAGTATGTTTGGAATAGGTTGGTTGCTTAATTTTCAAACCTTTTGTTGCCCAAAATTTGGCTCCTCTGCGCGAGCGGCATTTCTTATGCTTGAGCGGGCTTTGTAGATTCTGAGTATTTTGCAGGTCTGCAAAAATACTAGGAGAGCACACCCTACGCTTGAGCGGTCTTGTGCTTGAGCTGTTACTTCTCGAGCTCGAGTGATAGGCTTTTGTCTGCAAAACTACTGAACGTATGTATTTTGCGCTCGAGCGTCACTTCTTGTGCTTGAGAGGACTACGCGTATATCAGTTTGTGAAGGTGACTTTTACTTCACTTTTTCATTTCTCTCTGTCTCTCTCTAAAGCTCATCTTCTCTCTACTCTTTCACCTAGATCCATTGGGTTCTCTACCCTAGTGCCCCTGAGAAAAAAGGTAGATCATTCTGAGAGCTCTGTTTTGATCTGATTGAAACTTGGTTTTGGCGTCGTTGAAGTTTCCACCTTATTTTGTCCGTCTCCTAACTTTGATTGCACTTAGTTATTGGTTGATATTTAAGAAATATTGGGATTTGAAGGATTTTAGACAAACCTAGGATTTTGGTTTAAAATAGAGGGGTTTTAAAATGAACGTATTGGTAATGGTTATGGGCATTGGTATGTGAATATATTGTGTCAAATTTGTTAATTTTGACACGTGGATTGGAATTGGGAGAGAATGGGGTTTAGCCCTAAAACGTTTGAGATGATTATTTTATATAAACAATGAAACAGGTGTGGGAAATATGAAATCGGATGAATGTTTGTATCAATGGTGGAGTGGATGTACATTAACTTCTACCTTTGGAAATTTGGATAATGTATTTGTCTTTGAGAGTGTATATCTGTTTAGAAATAATTGTTTTAGGTTATCGGTGGAGGATGGCCATGATTGTTGTAGAAATTGCATGTGGGTTAGGCGAATTGAAACTAATCTCTTGCCATTATCATTGAATATGATTAAAATTTATATACACTGTATATGTATGATGTTTTGGAGGAGAAAGGGAATGTACTCCATGTTTGGGAGAAGAAAGGAGATGTAATCCATTAAACTAAGTTGGCCTGTGTGTCCAGGGTGAAAGTCCTAAAATTGCACGTATACATGGGTGCCAATTCCCGTAGATGAAATTTTCGTAAAATGGAAAATGAATGTATTGTGTATGATAATTATGTTAGTTGGAGGCCTATAGGGTGTATTCTCTGTTTGGTGGACTAAATAAAGTGGGCATAACTAATGGATTGAGACATGAGATTGATATAACATGGTTTTGGGAAAAGTTGTAAAAGATTTGTCATTTGGGAGTTGAACATGTGCATCATACTTATATCTTTGTTAATATTCATATATTGTGTTAGATTGTTTCTACTGGGCTTTGGCTCACCCTACTTGGGAAATCATTTTCAGGTGCTGGTGACATGCCTTCTCCAAGGACTTAGTTTGGGAGGACCTGGGAGCTGAAAGCTCTATTTTGTTGTTTTGTATTTAATACTTGTACATGCCTAGGGCTTTATATGTATAAAACTTAAGACTTCCTCTTTTGTTGTAATCATGCTTAGCCTTGGAAAGCTGTAAGCCCGTAGGGCAATTATTTTGTTGAAAATTAAGTTGGTACCACATGCTATGGATTCAGAGTAGAGCTTATGAATGTATATCGCATGTGTCATCTTTTTATAAGTTAACTTTGATTGATGAAAGTCTATTATTTTGTTTATGTCATCTTGTAATAGTCATTTGCGGATGAATTGTGTTGTTTATTTCGGGGGCGTTACACAACATGATAATGGTGAATTGGTGTATGTGGGTGTACATTTACCATTTAGGCAAAGAAGTCTCTATCTATGGTGTCTAATACATGATAAATGACCTTACCTGTGTCTCTGTCTATGGTGTCTAATATATGATAAATGACCTTACCTTTGAGTAGTGTTGAATATGTCAAATGCAAAGAATGTCCAGGGGCATAGTAGTGGAGTTGCATGATGGAAATCAAAAACCATTGAGGAGCAACCTAATAGTGAATACAAATTTATAGACGGTCTTGAAATTTTTGTTTTGTATTTGAAATCAAGAAGACTGGAAGGGAATTGAAATGGGTTTCGTATTGTTTATGCATATTTAAAATGGCTTATTCTTCTACTAACAATAGCAACAGTAGATAAAACCAAGAATGTGTGATTGTGGGAGAACAACTGCAATGTATATTGTACGAATCAATAAGCATGGAAATCAAGGGCATTTATTTTTTGTTTGCCCATCAAAATATGTAAGTATGTGTTATGAAATTAAACTTTTAGTCTTTTGGAAATTGTTTGTGTAATTTGAATAACTGATTGTCATGCATTATAGAGTAACAAGGAACACTACAATTACTTCAAGTTCGCGGACAATGATGATGAGGATGTTACCTTCACAAACCATTCCAATACTGGACCTCGTAAAGCTATACGAACAGAAGAATTCAATGATGTAAGGACAAGGCTTTCTAAGATGAAAAATGAGATTCATGATCATGGTAAAAGGCTTCAAATGATGGACAAGAATTTCAAGGCTATGATATATGTGATTATATTATGTATCATTTTGTACTTTATTTATATAAGACACTTGACTGCTAGTTTTTGGAAAATTTGATGAATGTAATTACGGATGTAATAGACATATTGGATGTTAGGAATTTAATTGAATGCGGTGTTGTTATGGATTGTGGATATATGTTGTCATTTTCAATACTATAAAAGCTTCACTTTCAGAATGAGGTGTTTTTTGTTTTGTTCTTTTCATATATTATCCTTAATCTCTGTTAGCTCAGAGAGAAGGCTAATTACATGCTCTGTGTTGTAGGTGGAATCAATTGTGTTGAACAGATATGGAAATGAGGCTTATAGGAATCAATTGTGTTAAACAAATATGTTTACAGTCAATTACAAGATAACTGAGTTGACTAAAAGATTGGTAAATATGTTTACCATCTAAATGTTGCAGGCAGGGGAGCACTTTTGAATGCATTAAACCAACAAACTACTTGACTAAAAGATTTTTTTGAAGATGTATGTGAAACTTATGTGAAGGTTCTCAAACTTGTTACCCACGGCCAGGTCAGAAAACCCATGGCCAAGTTACAAAACCCACAACCGAGCTTAACAACCCATGGCCAGGTGTGCTTCTATTGCTCTGATGCACTGGTTTGGTACCTATTTTAGCCTCGTTTTGTACTCAAGAAGGGCATGATTAGTATATAAGCAAGGATCAAAATATCATGGAATAAATTGAATTCCTATATTTCCAAAAACAAAATTCAATTAAATTGAATCCAATTTAATTCAAACCAACATTTACAAGCCAAACCATCCATTGTTTACTAACTCAAACCAACAGTTACAAACCATACCATCCATTGTTTACAAACCAAAAAAAATTCAAAGTACTACTGCGAAAAAAAAGAAGAAAAAAAAGAATGGGACATTTGGATCTGCTTCTACATTGAAGTGAACAAATTTTGAAGCGACTGTCAAAGTTTGATTGCCGATGTTGGTCACCATTCCTAATTGAGTATGAGATGTGCTTCCAATATTGTCCACCATTTGTATTGGGCTAAACTGTGCCTATTCAATATACAAGTAAACTTTACAAATATTGTCCACAAACATATATATAAATTAAAACAAGAAAAAATATTTTACTTCATACATTAAACGCATACTGGTACATACATACTCTGTTGCGTGCCATCCACGCAAGGAAAATAGAAAGGTGCAGTTTGTGGCTCCTCCTGATCATAGTAACAGAATTTCATTATTCATTTCACACATTAAAATAAAAAACAACGAACAAAATATAAAGTCCTTTGTCAAACACATACCAAATCATACATACTGTATTGCATATCATCCGTAGAATGAAAATTTAACTTCCAAGACTGACCTTGAGGCACCGTACTTCCCTATAGTAAGATACATTGGTGAATAATTTATCTTAAAAACATTCAGCAATTTGCATATGAAACACAATAAAAAAAAACTTACTTGTGCATTCGAAGCTTTTTACTCTTCCCTTCAACCGATTCACTATTTTTTCCACTTTGCTAACCTTCCGTTTGGTACATAGATGGCCTCTTCGGCGAGCAACCATAGGACTTAGCATCTTGCGAAACATGTTTGCTTTTGCAGTACTAAGAGCAGACGGACTTTTAGACGAAGTGTGAGAAAGTGGTACATTACTAGTAGAAGGTGGCACGTTACTAGTGAAAGGTGACACGTGACTCGTACTACCTGGTTGATCTTTTCTCACTCTATCCTTGATTTCTATAAACCCAAGATCATGCACTTTGTGTTTACCATCATCATTGGCAGCAATTTCTAGGATTTCATCCAACATCTTGTGGTATTTATCACGCACGTTTGCATTGAGAACATCCTCAGATTTAGTATATGTAGTTGGAATGCATGTGTACCCTCTTTCGATATCTTTTCTTCATGTCGATACAATGTATTTATCTGGAACCTGATATATGCACCTCTCAAGGAGCACACTAATTGAATGGGCACACATAATGCCCCGAAACTCAAACCACCGACACATACATTGCATTTCACATTCACTTGCATTAAAGCACACAACAAATTCCAATGTCTTCATTTTCTCACCGACTAGAACAGCCTTCTTGACATAATATGTACAAATTACTCCCTCCTCTTTGACAAGATTCGCACGACAATATAATAGTCACTTCAATTCTACTTGCACTTCTTGAAATTTAGCATTTGTATACGTTGCACGAAATTGCTTCCCAAACTCATATATTGTTAAGCAATCATACAATTTGTTTTGAGAATTAAAGTCTGCTTTGGTCTCTTTCTTCACCTTACTTCTCAAGGCATTATCATAATGTTCAACAAATTGCTTTAAAGTTGTCTTTGAGTTCACATATCCATCAAAAAATGCATTCATACTCTCACTTCATTGTGTAGTTGACATGCCAGCCTAAAAAATGTCCTTAACATAGGCAGGAATCCACCTATGTCGCTCACCGTATAATACCCCCAGCCAGTCATTATTATTCAGATTGAACTTTGCAATCATCGCTTGTTCTTCATCAAATTCAATCTTTTGTAAAGGAATCATAAACTGCATTTTGCAAAGCAACCTTTATGGATTCATATTGGAAATATCCTCTCAATTTCTTTGGAATTTTCTTCATTATATGCCATAAGCACCAACGATGTCGAGCTTGTGGAAAGAAAACTTCAATGGCATTTTGCATAGCTCTGCACTAGTCAGTTATTATAGCTTTTGGAGGAGCGTCTGACATGCAACTTAACCATTCTCTGAATAGGCACACAAATGTTTCAGTGTTCTCATTACATAACAGCCCACAGCCAAGCAAAATTGGCTGCTCATGGTGATTAACTCCTACAAACGAAGCAAATGACATATCATATTTGTTTGTGAGATAGGTTGTGTCAAATGAAACAACATCCCCAAATGCTTTATAAGCTGCCCTACTCCTTGCATCCACCCAAAATACGTTTCACATGCGACCATCAACATCGAGGTCAATTGCAGAATAGAAGTTTGAATTTTGTTGTTGCATCCTATGAAAATAAAGTGGAACTGATTCAGCATCTCGTACCCCAAGCCTCAATCTTCTAACATTGTCAATGTGATTCCTTGCATCTTGTTCATCAAATGTTAATGCCTCGTACCTCCCTTCTTCAACAACTATAGAATGAAAATTCCTAGCCACCCCTATCCCTCCTTCATCATTTATTTCTAGTCTTCTCTTCATAAGAGTAAGAATCCTCTTATTCATTGCAAAATGCCATGAGTCACTAGGAATCAAGTCATGCATATGCTCAAGCATAACTGTGGTTAACTTAAATCTTCCATCCTTTTGTAGAGTCGCTCTAACCTTTGCTTTACATTCAATTTTTGATGACAAAGATGGTTCAAGAGGGTGTACTTCTGATCGTTTTGTTCTCTTTCATGCCCGAGTACATTCAATTCTAAAGTATTTTACTTTCCCATCTTGCCCAATATTTTGTGTTGTATATAAGCTACAACAAATCAAAGGTGTTTTGCAAATTTTGCATAAAACGCATATACTTCTTGCTTTTAGCTAAAACACAGCCCCTTCTTAGGTTCTTTAACTTCACCAATCTCATTTAATGATGATTGTTCTCCAGTTCTTCAACTTCCTCAGTCCCATTCAATGAAGGATTGTTTGAATCAATGTCCATTGAAGCGTGTAGCTTAAAACCAAAATTCAGACTACATAACCAGTAACCAGACAGAAAATAAAGTGTAAGTGAATGTAGTGACAAGATTTCATATTTTCCTTCACTTTTCAAACTAGCCTAGATGATAATATAATGCAAATCCTAACCCTCTATAACAAGTACTTCCAAATACCCTCACATTTTCTGGACTAAAAAGCCTCAATACTCAAAGAAAACAATCATATTTTTCTCTAACAAAAACATAAAATCAAGCATAAAGACAAGATTTCATATAGAGATGGCTGTAAGTTTTGAAGATAATCAAAACTTAACTTACTATTATCGCATGCAACTTTGGTGATTTTTCATGAACAACATTTCAATTTTTCTAATAGAACATGCATCAAACATAATAAAATTTTCCTAATATTTTACCCAGATCATGAAGGTTCTCTAACAGAACATAAAATCAAGCATAAAGACAAGGTTCTCCAATTCTAAAAAGAATCAGAACTTACTATTATCACTTGCAACTTGGGTATTTTTCATGAACAAAATTATAATTTTTCTACGCAGACTTTCATCGAACAACTGGAATGCATCAATACAATGACACATGTTTAATAGAGGGTCTGATTCTAGAACAACCAAACATAAAAAAAAAAAATACAGACATCACACATACATCACAAAATTCAGCAGATACAAAAAAATTGCAGACATCACAAATGCATCTCAAATGAAAAAAAAAAAAAAAAGAATAAAAAAAAAAAATAGGACTATGACTTACCTAATCTCATATGAATACATTCGGCATGGAGATTTTGAACATAGGTGGACAGTGGTTAGTGGCGGTCATCAAGGAACACCATGTCAATAGTCGTCGTGATTGTCAATGAACACCTAGGTCGGGGGTCGTCGTGCTCGTCAGTGAAGTTGTGCTCGTTTGGTTTCCCCCTCTCTCTCTCTGTTTTCTCCATTATTTTTTGTTTTATTTTTGAATTATTACATCTCCAAACCAGAACACGTGAAACCCACGTGCATCATATTTTGGGAGGGAAAACAATTTTGAGCCATTGGGGCCACCACCCATTCATGCTACCCATTAGCTTTGTTTTAATTTTTAGATACACCTAATATAAATATACTTAAAAAGTATAATATTTATGAATTTTTTTTTAAAAAAAAATACTAAATACTAAAAATATAATAAAAAAATAAAAATTTAGTACATATTCGTATTCTTGTGTATTTATTGATTTTTTTAAAAATATTTTTTTTACAAATATTTTACTTTTTAAATACATCTAGGTAAGGTGCATTTAGAAAGTAAAAAAATTAGAAGGAAAGAGCAAAAGATTTGGGGTTGATCAAAGGAGCTGTGGTGGGTCATAGTGAACTGAAGTTGTCTCACCTTCAATTTGCTGATGACACTATTATTTTTTGCGAAGCAAATTGGGAGGAAATCATAGCAATAAAGAGAATTTTGAGATGTTTTGAACTAATGTTTGGGTAAAAGATCAATTTTCATAAAATTAAAGTTTGTGGGATTGGTGTAGAGGATGATCTGGTTAACGTGTTCGCCAAAAAGTTGAATTGTTTAACTCAGAAACCACCCTTGAATTATCTATGCATGCCTCTATGATCAAATCCAAGGAGTAAGAGAAAATGGTAGCTAGTTGTTGATAAGTTTAAAAAGAAATTAGCTCTATGGAAGAGAAAATGCTTATCATTTGCAAGTAGGCTAACTTTGATTAAGTCTGTACTATCAGGACTGCCAGTGTACATTTTATCCATGTTTAAGATGCCAGCAAGTATTGTTAAGTTGCTAGATAGAATTCAATCTACCTTTCTTTGGGGTGGTGATGAGGTGAGGAGGAAAGTGCATCTTGTAAAGTGGGAGGAGGTGTGCAAAAATAAAAGTAAATGTGGGCTTGGTGTGAGGAAGCTCAGTGAGGTCAATGAGTGTCTGTTAATTTAAATTGTGGTAGAAGTATGGCTTGGAAAATAAAGCATTATGGAAACAAGTGGTGTGCAGCAAGTATGGTCAAAGTGGTGGTAAATGGAGTCCATTGACAGTGGAGTCAGGGGTGCTACCTATCATGTGGAAGGATATTATGTCCTTAGCTACAAGTATTCCACCCTTGAGGGAGTTTATCTTGTCTAATTTCAAGATTGTGATTGGGAATGAAATTAGAACAAAATTTTGGGTGGATGTGTGGATTAATGATCAAAGTTTATTCCTTGCTTTTCCTAAACTTTTTTCATTATCAATTGGGAAGGATGGTTCATTGTTTGATTTCTATCAAAGGAAAAATAGGGGTGATTTTTGGAATTTCATTTTTAGAAGACCGTTTTTTTCTTGGGAAGAGGAGGAGCTCCATAACTTGACTGTGTATCTTCAGGTGGCACCCAATTTAAGAATTCAAGTAGAGGACACTTGCACATGGTTGGCTCATACATTTGGAGCTTTTTCTGTAGCTTCAGTATGGAATTGGATGGATTCAAGTAAAGGGTCTAATCTCATAATTATCAAGACCATTTGGAATAATATTGCTCCCCCAAAGGCTCAATTCATGACATGGTTAGCTTGGAGAGGTAGGATGAAATCTGCTGTCTTTATGCAAAGGATTGAGGTGTTGAAGCCAAATGCAAACATCCTCTGTGTATTTTGCAATTCTGAGGTGGAGTCACAAAATCATTTATTACTGCATTGTAGTTGAATTTGGAAAGTGTGGTCTGGGATTGTGGGTCGGTGGGGTTTGTGTTGGGTTATCCCTGGGTCTATACAGTCCTTGTTGAGTTGGTGGGCTGGTTTTAAGGTAAAAAAGAATGTGATGGAGATTTGGAAAATTGTTCCTTTGGCTTTGTTATGGTCAATTTGGAAACTAAGAAATGAATGCTTGTTTAATAATACTCAACCCGATTTTGTGGACCGGGAAGAATTAGTGGAAGTCAGAGTGGCCTTATGGGCAAAGTCTAATCTAAAGAATTTTCATATCTTTGTGCATGATATTATTTCCAACTTATGGCAGATTTGTTACTAAGTTTAATCTATTGGGGCTACTGTTGGTGTATGGTTGGTGGTGGTGTATTGTGTAATCTTGATGATGTTCTATTTTTCGCTGATTGGATGATGTAGATAGAGAGGCATGTTGATTGGAGGTGTTTGCTGGGTGGAGTACATGGCAGCAGGGGCTTCTGGTTTGTTTCTTGAGGTCAGGATGCATCTTCAGCTAGTTACTGTTGTTGTTGTTTTGTTGGTGTTTCTTTTGGTTGCTGTTATTTCTTCTGTCTCTCTTCTGTGTTGGTATCCCACCAACATGCCTAAGCTAGCTTTTGTTTGTGTATCTTACTTGGTGCCAACCTAGTTGGGATTAGGTAGGTGCTCAATTTGTTTTTGCTCTTGGCTCTACCTTTATTGATGTTTGGTCATATATATGCATATTGATTATCATCAATAAAGTTCCTTTTTTTGCTGATAAAAAAAAGGAGTAAAAAAAATTGCTTAAAATTTTAAAAAATATTCACTAAAAATAAAAATACAAAAAATTAAAAAACTCAATTTTCAGAAAATTAAAACCAAACAAAGTGAATAATAGGTGAATCACATAATAACGTCAAAATATAAAAATTCGAGACATGATTCAACACTTACAAATAATTTAAAACAGAAGGATAAAAAGATTTGAAACCCGTCTCATGTTCAACTGGTTTAGGTTACATAGCATTTTCTAGCTAAAGTGGAGATGAAAAATTCATTCCGGAAAAGCCTCAATTATAGAGGGAAAAGCTGCAATTTTGATAATATTGTAGCGCGGAAAACCTCCTTCCTCCAATACTTTCTTCCATTCAAGCTCTGTCCTCTCTTTTCCACCAGTGTGAGCAATCATTAGCAGATCCAACACCAATCCTGTATCGTCAAACATGCCATCACCTTCCGGATTTAGAACTACATCAATGATAATCACCTTTCCGGTTTTCTCAGGTATTGCTTTCTGACAATTTTTCAAGATGTTAACACAATCTTCGTCGTTCCAATCATGCATTATTCGCTGCATTCACAAATAATTGTTCGGCATCACCAATTTTGTTTAGTAACGTTTTTATTCCTCATTTTCTCTTTTTGTTTTCAAATGTTATGACATTTGTGAAATTGATACTACAAATCTTATAATTAAATCATTTTTAGTTATAACTAAAAAAATAATGGGTCATAAGACATAACCAAAGACATTTTTGGTCATAACAAAAATAATAATCAAAATAGGTTATAACTAACATCACAATGAATTATACTTAAATCATAACTAGGAGTCATAACCACTACTTGAGGAATAATAAAAGACATTTTCAATTATAACTAAAATAAAAGCACAACAAATCATAATTAATACTACAATGAGTTATAACCAATATCAATTGAACATATTTACGGACCACAAAAGTTATAACTAGACATAAAGGGTGTGTATTATAGAAATTTCCCACATTTAATAGTATAAAAGAAAATTGTGTCCTTGCCAAGCTATCTTAGGGCAAGGTTTGTGTTAGATATATAGAAAGAGTTTTTATGTTGATTGTTAATTATATTCTATGGTACAAACTCTCAAATTTATATCAAATGAGTTTGGTCAACTCTGGCCACAGATAAATTTTAACCCACGTGACATATTTGAAATAAATCTGATATATATATTTTGATATAATTTTATTTATATCTAGAGTTTTGGTTTTTAGCTTCTTTTTTTTTTTTTTTAATAACTCTTAGGATTTTCAGACTGCTCGTGTGCAGTGTCACTTGTACCCAGTTGACAAGGTATTGGTGTGCTCCAGCAGGGGATATATATGCATTTGATTTAGCAATCTTTGGGCATTTGGTCATAGAAATTATACAAGTTGTGTATTATTTTGCAAGGCATCTTCAAGGTATCACATGTTTGTTGGGAGAGGAATAAAGTTGCTCACTATTTGGCTTGTGTGACTGTCTCTTTCGCAGGCTTACAATTTCGAATGGAAGAGGTTCTGGCGTTCATATCTAAGCTTGCCGGGTTGATGCAGGTTCAATTTCTTTGTATGTTTTGGCTTTTGACAGTTTTCCATTTGGAAAAATTATTTTTTTATTATTATTATTATTTTAAATTTAAAGATTGAAGTCGCCTCACACAGACCGTCCAGCATGATTCTCATGGCAAAAATAGTGATCAATTTTTGTCGCACATAGTACTCATAATATATATATATATATATTGATTAGAAAACTTTATAACTGCATGAAGTTTAAAATTTTAAATTATACTCATAACATATAATGTACAAAAGTTGAAATTTCTAATTATTAGTGCATTATTTATGCACATGAAAATTTACTATATATCTATTTGAAAAGACTGTACTATATGCACTTCTAATTACGTTATTTTCTTCTTTAGTTTGATCAAATTTTATTTTTTTTTAAATTGTGACATTAATTTAGTTATGACTCGTGAAGTCTTTAGTTATATCTCGTATTGTGTTTATTACACTGCAAGAAAAAAGGGATACAACAATGTTTATTTTGTAGCGTTTTTTAAAATGTTGTAAAATGTGTGGGAAGTTTAGAACACAATTTCGTTTGTTACACGCCAATCATCGGAAAATGGTAGGGCAACGTTTTCGAAACGTTGGGTTATAAATTTCTTTTTTTGCTTTTAAGGTTCATGGGGAATCCAAGTCAATCACAAAGTGAGAGAGAGAGATAGGGATCGACACTTGGTGCTTCGATCTGGATCGATTCTTCGTCGTTTTGATCTTGAAAAGCTGGTTATGTATTTGATTTGAGCGTTTATCTTAGTTATTGTTCAAATCCCTGTAATCTAAATCGATCTGGGGCTCGTTCTTCTTCATGTTTGGGTGCGGCATGGCTCAAGGTAAGGGATTTGTTGAATTCACAGAAGATCTGTGTAGTTTCATGGCTAAACACTAACAATCTGGAATGTATTTACGTTGATATTTGTACATTCAGTTCCTTCTTCACTCAATTTGGTTGATGTTTAGCATTTTTTGCTTTTGCTTGTTGTGTTTTGTCTTTCTTTTAATTTTCATTCTCTTTCTCTTTATGGTCTACGCATTGGGATGGAGTTATTGATCACCAGCAAATGGAAAGAAATCGAGAAATCAGTGTGTTTGGTGTCCGTTTTCTGAATTCAATTTTTTAAAAATTGAGTTTTTTATTTTTCGTGTTTTTTGTTTTTAGTGAATATTTTTTAAATTTTAAGTAATTTTTTTTACTTTTTTAGATGTACTTTAGTTAGATGTATCTAAATAGTAAAATATTTTTAAAAAATATATTTTTAAAAATTAATTAATACATAAAAATATGAAAATGTACTAAATTTTTGTTTTTCTTTTTTGTATTTTTTGATATTTAGTGTATTTTTTAAAGATTTTTTTCACAAATATTATACTTTTTAAGTGTGTTTTTGTTAGGTGTGTCGAAAAATTAAAACAAATTGCTTAAAATATTAAAAAATTCATTGAAAACATTAAAATATGAAAAATAAAAAACTAGAATTTTCTGAAAACTGTTTTTTGAAAACTGGAACCAAACAATTGTTGTTGATCGAGAGTTGCATCCAACAGCCTTGGTATCACAGAACACTAGTTCAGGGGCTTGAAGCGTGGTGCTATGATTCTCTATGCTGATGTGCTTATCAATAGGTAAATGAACACTTTATGGATTTGATATTCCTGATCAGTTTACTCATTATTATCTATTTTTAGTTTATCAGGATTGATACCCTATGAAATTTAATTTTCTTTAATAGCTTGCATATGTTTTGAGTTGTTTAGGCTTTCTATTCATGGCTGAAAACTCACCAACGGTCTATTCTGGATTTGGACAACTGCTAGAGAATTCTTGGGGGAAAATTTTTAGAAAACACGCACACATATATAAATGCAAAGCAGTTATAGGATGGCCATTCATTTTTATTTTTGTAAACAATAGTCTATTACCCTATTTACAAGTTTCACTTGACACGTTTGAATGAAGCAGTAGTCTTTTACTTTATGTCTCTATTTGATCACCATGCTGCAGGAAGTTTGCAGTTTTGTTTGTTATGGTTTAACAATGCATAATTTTTTAATTGGCTATGAATTATTGCACAAACTTGGAATTCCCAACCCATTCATGCTAGTATGTTTTTATTTATTTATTTGTTCATAGAGTAAACTTTTTGAGGTTATAAAGATCTAGTTATGCTTCTTCTTCTTTTTTCTTTTTTTTCTTTCTTCTGTTTTTGGTGCAACTTGGTCTTGCTAAGGATAAGATTATATAAGCACACTCCTAGATTGTTTTGCATATTTATGTGCATTTGAACTTATAGGCTTTAAATTTCAGGTTATTTTAGGTTGTTTTCCAGCTAGATTGTGGAAAACCCTGTCAATATATTTTCAAATGTTGTTAAAGCATTAAAATGTGGCTTTAAATTTCAGGTTATTTTAGGTTGTTTTCCATCTTCATGTTTTTGTTTAAATGTGCTCAATAGGCCCATGAAATGTTAAAGCAATGGTTGGTTATCTGGTTGTTTTCCATCTTCATGTTTTTGTTTAAATGTGCTCAATAGGCCCATGAAATGTTAAAGCAATGGTTGGTTATCTGTCTGTACTTGTCTTTTCTTTTTGAAGAGATACTTGAGACCAATTAGAGAGGAATCCATGAATATTTTGCTATTTGCATCATAAACTAATGAGATTGTTGGTGCTATTATCTTGCTAGAAATTAATAAAATATCACACACACACACGCGCGCGTATATATATATATATATATATATATTTGTGTTATATAACTGCCTTCTTCATTTATTTATTATTTATTTATATGTTGATTTAAAGCCCTGCCTAAACAACAAAGAGATAGCACTGTATCTGTTCAC